TCTGGCATTGGAGGAGCAGGTTCGGCTGTAAATACAAGAGGTTAATCAGTCTTGAACATGCGCCCCAAAAGATTTCATTGAGCGTCAGAAGCAAAGTAGCGGTGAAACTTTAATGAAAGGATCACTGAAAGCCGTGTTGAGACACTTGGATATGAGTATCTTTGGTTATGCATGTAAAAAGGCGTTTCAATATTTTATAATATTTTATATAACTTACAGATATGTTGTTATCGTTTAGGGAACACACGAAACTACACTTATCTAGCAATGGAAACACACGAAACTACACATACCCGGCAATAAGAGCACACGAAACTACACTTACCCGGCAATGGAAACACACGAAGCTAAACCTAGCCGGCAATAGGAACACACGAAACTACACTTACCCGGCAATGGGAACACGCGAAACTACACTTACCAGGCAATGGGAACACACGAAACTACACTTTCCCGGCAATAGGAACACACGAAACTACACTTACCCGGCAATAGGAACACACGAAACTACACTTACCCGGCAATGGAGCTGCATCTGAAATTGAAAGTTTAATCATTATTTTTTGTCAGGAAATCAACACGTAGATATTTACAATACATACTCTGATGTTGGGGATATTTTAAATTTAAGAAGGGGTACTGGTGGAAGACAATTGGTATGGAATGACGCGCAGACAGATACAGGTATATTAGTTATAGTTTATAAATCAATAATAATAATGTTAAAAGTGTTAAAATGTGTTGAGTAGGTGAACACATTTAAATCAACAGATGTTTAGGTATGTGTGGGAATCCTAAACATGTTCAGATATGAATCTGTTCCGGAATCTGCTGAACAGAAATACTCATTTGGTGTGTTCTATCTATAGAACTTCAGCTGTGGAACACTTCAGACACTAAACATGTTTAGGCACCTGAGGCTCCCTTCACGAAGCCTCATTCTTTAACATTGCACTAAGGTTACCTTAGTGACTTACGATCACCTTAGTGCTTTGTGAAAGGAGGCCCTGATCAAGATTTTTGATTTTGTTTAGGCTCTAAACTCATTTTTACAGTTGACGTTTGTAACACTGCCGTTTCCTTCAGGCATACAGCTTTTGCAAAGATTGGTGTTTTCCTCAGTATATGATTGATATACGTTTACTTCTAGTATATCATACACGCTATTGCATTCCGCCACATACAAATGTGTCCAACATTTACACATAGACGTGAGACAACGTTTAAAGTAACTTACCTCCTGGGAACGATTCCGCCTTGAAAGCAGGGTCATTTATTCGTGCTGCAACAAATAGTGAAATGTGAACATGTTTATTGCTGCTAGAAAAATATTAAACTCTGCCTTATGTTGTAATAAATATATCGACATATTATGATAAATCTTATATAAAAAAATGTGTGTCTCCGTTATGTCGAACCTATTTTTCAGTTCCGACCGTCTTGCTCGAAGGCACATTGAATTATCTCAAAGTCACAAAACGGCACTGATAGTTAAGAGTGAGCGAGTATGGCTTTACGCCGCGTTTA